TTACGTGTGTGTGTGTGTGCGCGCGCTAATTCTGCCCTTCGTATTGTGTATTTCTTTGTCTTCTTTTTATGTCTCTCATGTTTCGCCACAATACACTGGTTGATTCGCTCTCTTTGACGTTTCATCTATCTGTCTGCTAGTTGATATTTTTATGTCAATGAACGTCTCTTTACATACTACTGGTTAATCTTGTTAGTAGTACAGGCCACAATTCTATTCAGATTAAATGTATGTAGATATTTTGTCACTTAACAGTCACCTAGGAACACATTCTTACCCACGACATTCAGACATTCTGTTAAAGATGGATACCGGAAGACGCAATTTTATCACTCATGAAGAAATTTCAATCATTTTACTTTATGCTAAATATTGCGCTGAAAGGGGATGTTGTCCAGAAGGACGACGAAAGCTCCGCAACCAAACCAACCAGCTCAGAGAACACTATTAATTGCAAGACATTCTATTAGTTCTACCTATATATTATATTATTATTATTGTTCCCTTGGGTTCCTAGTGGAACATAGGGCTTCAACTCCTCTTCACATGATCTCCTCCATGTCACTATTGGACGTCTCACTACTCGCCGCTTACCTTTCGGGTTCCACTCGAGCTATGGCCTGACGCGCGATGTCACCCAGTGGCCTCCTCAGCGATTGTCCAATCCATCTCCACTTTCTCCTGCATATTTGTTGGGCGATTGGTTCTTGTTTTGTTCGTTCCCATAGTTTCTTGTTGGTGATTCCTTCCGGCCATCTGATCTTCAGTTTAGAGCCAGCGAAGACAGTTGTTGATAAAGGTCTGCAACCTGTTGGAAATATTCTTTATATATATATATTTTTGTTTTTTTTATTTTGGTTACAGTTTGATGCCACACCGTATTTTCAGTACAAGTATGGAATTTCAGCATGGATATCTGTAGCCCAAATTTCGCAGGCCAACCATAGATATCGGGTGTACGTCGGCAGGGGATCGAACCTCGGACCATGTGAATGGTCGGCGAGAGTCCTAACCACTGTGCCACCGACGCACCACAACTGCAGGGGCAGTTGTAGGTACAGTATGTAGTAGATTGTTAACTTGAATTTTAGATTTTCCCGTCGATTGATTGGACCGAAGTGCTGGGTCTCAGGCACATCCAGTTGACGAGTCCCAAATGGACGAAATTTGCGTGATCCTGGATTCCACTGCTAGTCACTATTCGCCAATTAAGTATGTAGTAGAGTCCAAAGAATTTCATAGGCACAGTAATCGAAAATATTTAGGAGGTAAGGGAAAGCGATATGGCGTAGAATGTACATTCGACAACTGATGGAAGCCTTCGAACTGTTTGATTGCATGATTTGACTACTCATAAGTAGTAGTTTAATAAAGATAGATTTATAAGAAAAAGACCTAAACAGCGAAGAAAATTTTCTTTTCGACGATTCATCTTCAAATGCCACTGTACAATCATAATTATAATTTAACAAAGAAATCATAAGAAAAATTAGATACTGTCCTCGAGAATGTATTACATAGTGTAAGAGATGTAGTCAAGATGGGGTGACTAATTGGAAATTAGAAAAGGGGCATGATGCAATAAGTGTGTGCGTCGGTGGCACAGTGGTTAGGACTCTCGCCAACCATGCACATGGTCCGGGGTTCGATCCCCTGCCGGCGCATACCCGATATCTATGGTCGGCCCGAAATTTGGGCTACCGATATCCATGCTGAAAATTCTATACTTGTACTGAAAATACGGTGTGGAATCAAGCTGTAATAAAAATAAAAATAAAAAAATAAGAAAATGACTAATCAATAAGCTCGTGTAGAATGAACAGGAGCTAGTGGAAAGATGATAAAGTGTTTTTATTTAAAATCTGCATTAAAAAGCTATGTTATTAATAAACAGCAATAGAGTGGCAATAAAATAAGGATGATGAGAATAATAATAATAGTAAACTTGTATAATAAGAGGAAGCAAAATTGTAGTAAGAACGTCACTGTAGCCACGGTAGAGCGAGGGAATATATGTAGTACTTTTGAATGCAGAGGTCAGGTTTCAGATCCCAAATAGCCAGTGATTCAGCTATCTACAAATGGAGTATTCGAAGGCCTTTCCAAATATATTGAGGGACTCTGTGTAGCAGTGTGAAGCATTCATGCGGGAGTGTTCGATGTCCAGATTTGACAATGTGTTCGACGATGGGACTGCTAGTATTCTTTTCTTCTCTGTCTAGCCCGGTTGGACAGTGTTCCAGAATACGTTTGTGGACTTAACGTTGTGTATAGCCAATATACTTTTATCCATACGAACAAGTAAATTGATAAATACACACTGAAGTAGCTAAAAGCGGTATCTTATCCTTAACTTTAGACTGGACTAACTGTCTGCTGGAGAATGTGATACATAAGGTGGCTGCTGGAAATGTCTTCTTCAGACATTTAGAAAGGCAGTTTGTGAGACTTTCTGCTTCGTTGTCACCTGTGAATTCCAGATCCATGAAGAGAGTTTTCTTAGGAACAGTTGTGATTATTAGTGACGGAGGCTTTTCCTTCATTTTTTGTCGGTGAATCTTGGTGGATACCCGTTCTCTAGTAGGATTTCACGTAATGAATTTAATTCTTCCCCTGTAAACTACGCCTTTCATTATGTAATACGTTTTCGAGAACAAATTTTACCAGTATCTGATTGCTCTTATGAATTCTTAATGAAATATCATTAAGATTGTAAAGCGGAATTCGAAAACGAATCGTCGAAAAGACAATTTTCTTCTCTGTCTACGTTTTTTTCTTACGACTCAATATGCGTATATTTAATCCATTCAAGTTATCAGTATACTCAACTTTCGTGGAATCAATCCATGAAGTTGTTAACTGATGCTTTGAGCCACTGAGGTTGGTGTAGACTGCTCTGTAAGATCCTTAATTCTCTAAGAATCACTGTCGGGTACATGTTGAGCCATCAGGCTCAAAGTGTTTTCTCAATGATGTCGATTTATTCACTCTTTGTGGACCTTTTTCCTTATTTTTTGTTCATCTTATAACTGGGAGATCGTGAGTTCCAAACCGAGTGAGTACTAACAGGTGAAGATATCCAACCTAGGACAAAGCAGTTGTCCCTGGTGGTCTTCTAATGGTTGGTTAACTGCCATCAGCTAGTGATCAAACTTCTAGCCAATCAAAATCCCTGTAAACCCACACTTGATAAATACAGTGAGACACAAAAGGACTTTCTATGTCACTTGCTGTCAATCTGAATGATTGGTTTCGAGACTGATTGGCAACAAAATTACTGATTGGGAAAACAGTCACATCTAGAAGATGAGTCCCAAATTAGACAAAATCAACATCCCTGCTTCGACTTCTAGTCACCGTTAATTAATTAATTTTATAGGTGCGTCGGTGGCATAGTGGTTAGGACGCTAGCCGACCATGCACATGGTCCGGGGTTCGATTCCCGGCCGGCGCACTCCTTTACCTCACTAAGCCAGAACTAAATAAGCTGGTGAAGAGGAAAGGTTGGGCATGAGGCTAGCAACCCCATCCTGTAAAATAAGCACTGCTACAGAAACTTCAAGCCTCTAGCTTGAAGCCCTATGTTCCAGCACTGGGAACGTGAAGGAATAAAAGAAGAAAGAATAGGTAGTAGTCCATCCCAAGCAAAATACTAAGCCGCATCATCCTGCAGAGAATCAAACATGCCACCCTGGATGAAAAACTTCGACCGGAACAGGCTGGATTCAGGAGAAACAAGTCATGTATTGATCAGATCGCCACGCTACGGGTCATCATTGAACAGAGTTTGGAATGGCAGTCACCTCTCTATCTCAACTTCATCGACTTTGAAAAGGCATTCGACAGCGTCGATCGAGAGGTTATTTGGAAACTTCTACGCTACTATGGGGTGCCACCGACAATTATACATCTCATCCAACAGTTGTACGACAATGCTGCATGCCAAGCAATCCACAATGGGAAACTCACAGAATCCTTCAAAGGGAAGATGGGAGTAAGACAAGGCTGGCTGCCTACTATCTTCAATAATTAATTTCCTGATTGCGGTAGACTAGATAATGTGAAAGACAGACAGCCGGCAGCGGGAAGACAGGTATAAAATGGACCCACACAAAAAGAGAACTTGGAGGATCTTGACTTCGCCGATGATATATGCCTGATTTCCAACAAACTGGAAGATATGCAAGCGAAAAGTAACAAGTTGACAGAAGAAGCATCAAAGATAGGAATTCCTTCAGGTGAACATAGAGAAAATAGAGGTGATGAAAATTCCTGGACAAGAACAACAGCAACAGACAAAGATCAGCATAAATGGAAGGAACCTGAAAGAAACAACCTCCTTTACCTACCTGGGAAGCATCGTTTCAACTACAGGCAGACGGAACTGATGAGGATATCAAAGCAAGACACGCTTTCACTACTCTCAAGTCTGTGTGGAGGTCAACAGCACTCAGCATCAAAAATAAGATCCGGATTTTCAACTCCAATGTCAAGTCAGTGCTACTCACTATACGGATCAGAGACTTGCACTGCGCGTCATAAACAGCACCTCAAACAAAATACAGACCTTCATTAACAGTTGTCTTCGCTCAATGCCACTGAAGATCAGATGGCCGGCCAGGAAAGATCAGCAACAGAGATCTCTGGGAGCGAACCAACCTAGCAGGAACCGATTGTGGAACAAATAGGCAGGAAGAAATGGAGATGGATTCGCCAGCCATACACCGAGGAAGCCATCAAGTGACATCACATGCCAGGCCATTGCTCGAGTGGAACCCGAAAGGGAAGCGGCGAGTTGGTCGTCAATGCAAGAGTGACTTGGAGGAGGTCATGTGAAGAGGAGATGAAAACGTGTGGGTGGCAGACTTGGAGCCAGGTGAAAACTTTAGCAGAGAACCAAACGCAATGGAGACGTTTGGCTGAAGCCCTATGTTCCTCTAGGAAATTAAAGGAAACAATAATAAATAATAATTTTTAATGATAATAATATTAATACTTACCTGAAATGTTGTATGTGTATCACAGTAGAGTTGTACAGTATCTCTTCTATCATCCGATGGTGGAGGTTTAATAAACTCTCGTGTAGACGGGATAATACGTTCTTTCCCGATATGATAAGTAAGAAATATACGATCTTCAGCGATATTGAATATTCTCTCGGAAACATCTTCATCAGCGTCTACCTCGGGGTTACGTGAAAATCTTTCTAATATTCTATCAATATTCAACTGATTCAATGTTGTCAAGATTATTGAATGTAAATTTTCTTTACTTTGTTTTTGTTGTTGTTGTTGTTGTTGTTGGAGTGGTGGTGGTGGAGGTGGTGCTGGACCAAAACGTTTCACTTTAGCACTATAAGTGACTTCACGAAAAAACAGACGGTCATCACGATTTTTATAGTGTTCAATCATTGTTGTTGGAGTTTGTTCACGTTTCTCTAAACAGTCGACTCTTGCTTCATTATAAAATAGCATATAACGTGTTGTATGTAAGGCTTGTTGACTCCTGTAGTAACCATGTTCAGCTAAGTGACTACTATCACGTCCATGATCAAATTTTTCAACAATCCAATTTGTTTTCACTTGTATTGTCCGACTAATTAACTTGTCGGCACGATTAGCATAAGTTTCTCTAATTTCCAGAGGGTTTGTTAATTCTCTATCTTGATAAATTGTTAATCGAAGGATTAAACCATCATTTTGTGAAAATGGAGCGAAATTTTCTACCAAAGAATATTTATATTGTTTCTTTTTAAAACCTTTTGGATAACGTAATTCAAATAGTTCTTGGTCGATCACTATTGGTAATGTCCAGGTTGGCGGTAAATCATACAACAGGAGTTTATCTTCTAGACAAGCAAATGGTTTCATTTGAAAATTTTTATGTAATTTCTGCAGAGCATTATCATTTAAATAATCATCATCATTAGTTTTGTTATTATCACTTGAATTGATACTTGTATGTGGATATTTTGTGCCTTTTAATTTATTCATTGAATTTGGTAGAATTAACAATGGTTCATTACTAATTCGGGTTTGACTTTCCCGCTGTATCGCATTGAAATTCAATGTTGATTGAACATTTTCAATATGATATGATTGTGGCATTTCATTCGATTGTAAATGTGGTATACCCAATGGTTGGATTGTATCAAATTTTATATTTAAACTACCACTTGGCAGTAAATATTCCCAGCACAGGCCATCAGAGAGATTATATTTCAAGTGTGCGATACCATTTGAACAATCTTGCATATTAACCCAATAATTTTGATGATTCCATAAACTTTCTATGCCTAAATACATTGAACAATCCAGCGGTTTTGCTTGACCAGTCAACGCTTCAATAAAAAATCCTTCAGAGACATCACGTTTACCGGGGAGAATTAAAATCCATGCATGGATTCTAAGGCCGTACAGTGGATCTTCAGTTGGTTTATACAACTCTGCTTCAGTTAATTCTGCATCTTTTTTTGCTTGTTTATTACGTTCAATTTCAGATTGTAAATCTTTTGCTGCCATTGCTTGTTCATATTTTGAGGTTAAATCTTTTGCCGGTTTAATTATGTAACGTTTCGGCTCAGGTTCTTCTTCTTCAATCTCTTCCTCTTCTTCTTCTATTAAATATGGACATGTTTCACGTGTTTCATCCATATAACAACATTCTCTAGTGGCATAACCACTCACCACATAAGCATCATATCCAACAGCCAGTAGTAATGAGCATAGCAGCATTGCATATTCAAAACAAGTACCTTTCTGCAGCTGGATTGTTGTCATTGGACTTAGAAGACGTTTTGGTAGTTCAGTAGACGGGACAAGTGGTACAAAATTAAGAAAATCAGAGACAAATTTAGCTGTACCCTCCCATGTATATAATTCTGGATAAGGTAAACGTGTTATTGTTAGTGTTGTGCAGACAAATTTACGTATACCACATTCATTTTTAGGTATAAGCAGTAATTTTGTTCTATCCGGACAAAGATGTTCATATTGTCGACAAAAATTTTCACAATATTCTAATAAACGTGACTCTTTCAAGGTATTTTCTTTATATGAGTTGGGAAATGTGAATGACTCAAAAGTTTCTGGTAGTTTTTCATAAACCTCTGGTAAATACAGGGGATCTAATTCACGAAATTGTTGACTTATAACTGGATCAATGATTTCATTCGACGATAATTCGTCAGTACTGTCCGCTTGTTCATTGAATAAATTATCGGGAAATTGTTGATTTGGATCCATCACTTGATTGTCAACTTTTTCATTTTCTTCTTCGTCTTCTTCATGATTGTTTGGCAAATTTGTATCTTCGCTTAGATAGTCTGTTTGGTCGGTTATCTTGAGTGTTGAAGTTGATTCGGTTTCTGGTGGTGTAGTCATAATTTTTTCAGTCTGTGCGAATACAGAGAAGAAGAGTTTTTATACTTGATTAACTTAGAAAAAAATGAGGCGGTACTGGATCCCCTACCAATGGGATCCTCCATTGGTACATATCTTCATGATAAACTTGAATCATGAAAAAGGTAAGAAGTGTAACCGTTGGAAATGATGTACTACTTGGTTGAAAAATAGCCTCAATGATACTCGCAACAAGAATAAAATTAATCAAAGTTCAGCTCTGTGTATATCGTCGAAAAATGTAAGAAAGACGGTACGTATCAAAGATGCTACTATTAGAATAGGATCTTAAAAAAATGTCGTACCTGATGCATGGAAAGACATTAAAATAGTCCCTGTCCCTAAACCTGGAAATAGCAAGAACGTAAAGTTCAGACCCATTGCCATCACTTTCCCGTTTCTAAAGTTGATGGAAAAACTAATACTTCTTAAACTTGAACCCTCCCTTAAAAGCTTTGAAGACCCCAAACAATTTGCCTATAGACAGGGTAGGAGCACTTTAGACGCTGCAGCTGTCTTACACAACAACATCGTCTCATCATTAGATAAAGGTGCTAAATACGTCCGCTGCACGTTTCTTGACTTCACTTCTGCTTTCGACTCTGTACCCAGATGTCTCTTGCTAAATAAGCTCTCTTTGAGACAAATTGACTCCTGGGTTACTAACTGGTTGCATTCCTACTTCTCTAACAGAATGCAGTACACCGTATACAAAGGTAAATCATCCTCTGCTGTACTCACTGAAGCCGGAGTCCCCCAAGGCGCTGTACTCTCCCCACTTCTCTTTTCTTTCTTTCTACATGACTTACCATCTTCAAATGACATTAATTTCGTTAAATATGCTGACGACCTGACAGTATCTTTGCCTGTCAAATGTCAAAGTGACTGCTCTAAACTTAATGGCTTCCTGTCAGAAATTAGCCAGTGGTCCAAGGAAAACGGTCTTACCTTAAACCCCTCCGAATGCCAAACAGTCAATTTCACTTTGAGGCATAAATTCGACCTAAACAAACTGGTTAGCACTCACAAGGTGTGCAACATAGATGACACTGAAACAGAAACTAAGTCGGAAATTAAATACCTAGGCGTCATTCTATATGCTGATCTTTCCTGGTCGTCTCATATATTGGCGATTTCTAAGAAAATATTCCGTCTTACCTTCTACATCAAGAAGTTAAGACATTCTGGTATAACCCAACCCTTACTCCTACAATTCGTTAATTCTCGCATTCTGCCTATTATTCTCTATTGTTCGCCCCCCCTTTAGTTTTTCCCGGGCTACTGAAGAAAGACTATAGCATATTACGCAGGATGTTAAATGTAGTCAGCAGAGTAAGCAACGTGCCACTTAACCAGCTTGTTAATATTTTGGTTGACAGGCACATGGACTCATGTGAAAAATGGGCCAAATCCATTTTATCTGACTCACACCACCCTCTTCACTCACAACTCTCCCCTTGCATCTCATCAGGCAAAACCAGAAGCCAATATAGAAAACTATATGCTCGCACTAGCAAGTACAAAAACTCAACCATACCCTACTTAGCTTGTGTTCTGTGTGATAAAGAAAGCATTAGGTGTGACACCTATAATTCATTAAATAGTCAGTAGTACAACTGGATCTCGTCTTTCCAACTCATATCATTTATAGGTACAACGTTTTCTTTCTTTCTTTTCTTTTCCTCTCTCTCTTTTTTTCCGTTATGTGCTGCTTTGTTTCTTTCTCTCGCTTACGCCAGCAAATATGATAGCACCTACTTTCCTAACACCTTCAAACACTGTTCAACTTTGGCTTTGCTACTGACATGCCAATATGTTGTTGTCATAATGAACTGAGATTTCCTTAATCTATGTAGAATTCTATTTATTGATAATGTACCAACTGGATGCAACCTATCGCCCCATTCTTCTGAAGAAGAAAATGGAGATGGGTTGGATGCACACTGAGAAGACTGTTGAGTAAAATCATATCCCAGGAAATCCCTCGAGTACAACCGAATGAGTAACGATGTCGGTCGGTCGGTTTTCGACATAGAACTTTGCACATATGTGCGGCACTTCAAGTCGACACACTCCCTCCATGTAGCACACAAAGCAAGAGAAGAAAGTAGGAGAAATGCATAATAGAGACAGCAAACAGAGGTGTGAGACAAAGGAATAGTAATAATGGAGGACAAAACGGTTTAATTGGAAATCATAAGTCACAAGGAGTGGATGCATCTGCGCCATTGAGAACGATTTTGAGCCATGTCACCAATTGTTTCCAACCATTGGTTTTTACCGTCCCGAGGACCCCAACCAGGAAGCCAGTCTACACCTTCCTACGTGACTTAGACTAACTGTTGTAGGTTTCATTGACTGGTGCCATGTTTTCTTTTGACCGCCGCTAGCTCTTTTCCAGCCTGACCCCATGTCAGCTAACATTGCCCGTCAGTCGATGAAGGCGATGACTAGGCATACGTAACACATATCATAACCATCTCAGTCGATGTAATTTCACAGTCTCGTTCACTGATTTCCCCTCCTCACCTTGCACTCGACGCCTAACCTCAATATTGCTCACCCTATTATACCACCACTTCACACGGGAGATAGAACGCAGACACCTATGATCGAAGACAGCTAATCTTTTCATGTCTTCTGCTCTCAATGGCCAGGTCTCACAGCCATAAAGGAGGACGGAGCGGACTGTTGAGTAACGATGAGTTAGGCGCGGGTTGGAGAGTGATATGCAGCAGATTGCGTGAGGAGGAGATAAGAGCTTACAGGCTATCATGAAGTCAACTAAACAGGACTTTGGAGAATAGGATGAATTGAAGATGTACTGTTGAAGCCGTATGCTCCATTCAAAACCTAAAGTGTGGTGAGAGCTCTCTGCAAGACAAAATTGTAGACAACAATTGACGTCAATGTTTACGTCCCGAATCGGGGTCATAAGAAAAAAAATAACAAAGCCTAACCTTGAGGAACTCAACAACCAATCACAGCAGACTGAACGTGGGCGGATACGATTCGCAGATATATCACTGGACTGTCTAAGAAACGGCAACAAAGAGATGACAGAATAACCTTCAGCAGGGGAACAACCAATCAGAAGACGTTACTTCTTTGCTAACAATAACGAATAATAACGTACATAAATATCTCTTGATTTTTCAGCAGTACGCACCCACCGGTGTTTGAAACCAGGACCTTCTGTTTAAAAGGCGAGCTTGGAGAGCATTAAGCCACTGGGACCCGATCCAATGGCCCATGAATTCTAACTTGTACCAATTTACGACATAGCGCGACCATTTCGCAATGTGGCCCAATAGTCTACGAGCTCACCCTGTAACCAGAAGGTCCTGGGTTCGAACCCCACTGGCAGCGCGTGCGTACTGATGAAGAGCCCCAAACCAGGAAGAAACAGCTGTCCTGTACTATCAGGTTTTCCAGTGGTTCTTTAACTGATGTCAGCTCATGATCAAATCCTCCAATCCAATCAAACAAAATCCCTACAAAACAAATTCTTGAAAATCTTTTGATTTTCTCAGTCAATGATCCGTTACCTGGCTCTTGTCTTCTATCGTTACCAAAGGAATATTAATAATGATAATAAATGACAACTATTACGAGATGAAATCTACACGGAATTCATCCAAAGAATTTGAAAAAGTAAAGGCGAACGTTTAAACGCTTGTGCTTATTCACCTAAAAACTTAACGGTGATGACATTCCTTGAACAGTCAACAGAAGCCTGAAGAAATCACCAGCTGCGCATATCAAGGCACCAAACGGACACATTAGAAAGATACAAAGAATAGCCAGTCCAAGAACTTCTCAGTACATACCAAAAGAGCTGAAGATATGAAAAAAAGAGTATAATTTTGAATAACACAGTCATACGGCATATGTTTAAGACAGGACATCAGGTAGTCTCTCAGATCAGCTGTCATTAACTTCAATCTCATCCGACAGCTGTACGACAATGCTGCATGCCAAGTAATCCACAATGGGAAACTTACGGAATCCTTCGAAGTGAGGACAGGAGTAAGACAAAGCTACCTACTATCGCCAATGATTTTCCTGATTGCGGTAGATTGGATAATGCGACAAACAACGGGCAATGAGGAAACAGGCATAAAATGGACTCACACAAAAAACCAACTTGGAGGATCTGGACTTCACCGATGATATATGTCTGATTTCTCACAAACTGGGAGATATGCAAGTGAAAAGCAACAAGTTGGCAGAAGAAGCATCCAGAGAAGATAGGACTTCAGGTGAACATAGAGAAAACAGAGGTGAATAAGATTCCTGGACAAGAACAACAACAACAGACAACAATCAGCATAAATGGGAGGAACCTGAAAGAAACAACCTCCTTCGCCTACCTACCTGGGAAGCATCGTTTCAACTACAGGCAGATGGAACTGACGAGGACATCAAAGCAAGGATCGGGAAAGCAAGACAAGCTTTCACTACTCTCAAGTCTGTGTGGAGGTCAACAGCACTCAGCATCAAAAATAAGATCCGGATTTTCAACTCCAATGTGAAGTCAGTGCTACTCACTATACGGATCAGAGACTTGGCCAGCGCGTCATAAAGAGCATCTCAAACAAACTACAGACCTTCATTAACAGTTTTCCTTGCTCAATACTCAAGACCAGATGGTCAGAAAAGATCAGCAACAGAGATCTCTGGCAATGAGCGAGCCAACCCAGCTGGAACCGATTGTGAAACAAATAGAAAGGAAGAAATGAAGATGGATTGGCCATACTCTGAGGAAACCATCAAGTGACATCACACGCCAAGCCATTGGTCGAGTGGAACCCGAAAGGGAAGCGGTGAGTTGGTCGTTGGTGCAAGGGTGACTTGTGGGAGGTCATGTGAACAGGAGATGAAAATGTGTGGGTGGCAGACTTGGAGCCAGGTGAAGACTCTAGCAGAGAACCGAACGCAATGGAGACGCACTTCTGAAGCCCTATGTTCCTCTAGGAATT